TCTCACGGACCTGTTCGTTTTTCTTTAAGAAGCCCTCCTGTTCTCCACTCATTACCTGTATTAACTGCACCTGTTTGAACTCGTTACCTGTATAAAAGACACCTGTCCACACACTCAATCAAACAGACTCCAACCTCTCCACAATGGCCAAGACCAGAGAGCTGTGTAAGGACATCAGGGATAAAATTGTAGACCTGCACAAGGCTGGGATGGGCTACAGGACAATAGGCAAGCAGCTTGGTGAGAAGGCAACAACTGTTGGTGCAATTATTAGAAAATGGAAGAAGTTCAAGATGACGGTCAATCACCCTCGGACTGGGGCTCCATGCAAGATCTCACCTCGTGGGGCATCAATGATCATGAGGAAGGTGAGGGATCAGCCCAAAACTACACAGCAGGACCTGGTCAATGACCTGAAGAGAGCTGGGACCACAGTCTCAAAGAAAACCATTAGTAACACACTACGCCGTCATGGATTAAAATCCTGCAGCGCACGCAAGGTCCCTCTGCTCAAGCCAGCGCATGTCCAGGCCCGTCTGAAGTTTGCCAATGACCATCTGGATGATCCAGAGGAGGAATGGGAGAAGGTCATGTGGTCTGATGAGACAAAAATAGAGCTTTTTGGTCTAAACTCCACTCGCCGTGTTTGGAGGAAGAAGAAGGATGAGTACAACCCCAAGAACACCATCCCAACCGTGAAGCATGGAGGTGGAAACATCATTCTTTGGGGATGCTTTTCTGCAAAGGGGACAGGACGACTGCACCGTATTGAGGGGAGGATGGATGGGGCCATGTGTCGCGAATCTTGGCCAACAACCTCCTTCCCTCAGTAAGAGCATTGAAGATGGGTCGTGGCTGGGTCTTCCTGCATGACAACAACCCGAAACACACAGCCAGGGCAACTAAGGAGTGGCTCTGTAAGAGGCATCTCAAGGTCCTGGAGTGGCCTAGCCAGTCTCCAGACCTGAACCCAATAGAAAATCTTTGGAGGGAGCTGAAAGTCCGTATTGCCCAGCGACAGCCCCGAAAACGGAAGGATCTGGAGAAGGTCTGTATGGAGGAGTGGGCCAAAATCCCTGCTGCAGTGTGTGCAAACCTGGTCAAGACCTACAGGAAACGTATGATCTCTGTAATTGCAAACAAAGGTTTCTGTACCAAATATTAAGTTCTGCTTTTCTGATGTATCAAATACTAATGTCATGCAATAAAATGCAAATTAATTACTTAAAAATCATACAATGTGATTTTCTGGATTTTTGTTTTAGATTCCGTCTCTCACAGTTGAAGTGTACCTATGATAAAAATTACAGACCTCTACATGCTTTGTAAGTAGGAAAACCTGCAAAATCGGCAGTGTATCAATTACTTGTTCTCCCCACTGTACATTAGTAGTTTTGGCCACATCCATACAGCTACACTTCCCCTACACTTCCTGAGTTACACTTACACACAGGTGTTTGGAGTACGCTAGCTGGTTAATTAGCCAGGTGGTCGCCTCTGTCTTCCGTCTGTTTTCCCTAAGCACGCATTGTAACATGGAGACATGGCTGTGTGGGAACACTAACCCTATAAAGGTGTGTCTCAATTTAACCTTTTTTTTTTTTTTTTTTTTCACTGATATGAAAGATAAGGTACTTATGCTTCCAAAACCGTACCGCAATCAATGCATGTTGATGTTCAGACCGAGCGTCAGGGCTCTTAACAAAACTCCCCCGCACAGAAGACGCCTTTGTCCAATGACTCTTATGTGTAATGTAAGTGAACTGAGAGTCATGATCAAGGGCTAGCTTTGGCCTACCACACCACATGTTATTGCATCCTACTTTTGACATTCATATTGTTATCTTGTTGCTATATTTACATAGCTTAATCATGTATATGCTTTTTGCTAATTGCTATTGATATGTTTAATAATTTTATTCATATTGCAATGTATTACTATTATAGCATTTGATAACCTAATTATGCATTCATGTACTATCATTATTGCTTGTTATTATTGCTATTTCTGTCTCCCTGCAGAAAACCATACATGCATACTGCATTACCCACAGGCTGGCCAATCCTAACCAATGCCAATCAAAACCAGGATCACAGACTAATGCCACGTTCAAAACAACTGGGAACTGGGAACTCGGACGTCTCCGACTTCTGGCTTTAGTGCGTTCAAAACAACTGGGGAAAAAACGGTCATCCAACTCGGAATTCCAACTCGGGAACTCGGGCCTCTTTCTAGAGCTCCGACTTTCTGACCTGAAGATCACTGGTCATGATTTGACCTCGTATTTGTCTGAGTTCCCAGTTGTTTTGAATGCGGCATAATGCCAACTGAACTGTCAACTGTCAGTCATATCATCTAACTCAACTGTCCAGTGATTCAATTAATTTCATCAACCTTCCATACCATGTACCATCATCTAAGTATGAAGACTCAGGTCAGGACATTAGCATAATTGATGACTGGTGGATCGCATTGAGCCCTGGGCTGAAGTTTTGTACAAGTTTTGTATGAGTGCTACTGCTAACATTAGCAGTCATTGCCTGTATTTCTTTTGTCATGAATGTGAAATATGCCACATTTCTGTTGGTTTTGAAGAATAATATGATAAATACCTTACAGATCTTTGAACTGTCTTTATCAATATAAAAATGTGAAAGATCTGTTAAGGTTTTGTTGTCCTTCAATCATGTATTGAAAAAGTAATTTTGTACACCATTATTATCCTGGACAAACTGATTAATTTGTATTTTCACAAAACTCATGTCCTTTGTTTGAGCATAATACTGTACATTTGACCTTTTGGAATTATTGATGAGTTTATAAACACACCATATAAGAGCAGGGAATATTATACAACAAGAGGAGGGACTCCCATTTACAGTATTTGGAAACTCCAGAAGAAGGGATCTAATTCTGCACTAGACAGGATTTGAAACGCCATCATAGTGTTTAGGAGCTTTAGAGGGAGGAAACTACATCACAAGAAAAGGGATCTAATTCTGCACTACACAGGACTCAAAACACCATAATAGTGTTTCCAACCTTTTCCGGGTTAGTGCTCCCAGTCTCTTGCAAGGTGTTTCACAACTCTTGATTATGTGGTGTTACAACACAGCATGTCATGTTTCAGAACACCTCAGGATGAATGTTTCAGTACACCTTAAATATGTACCAATACCCTCACAACCATGTTTCAATACTCTAGCCAAGTTAAGGTTTCGTCTCCTTTCAGTTGCCACTAGACTTCATTTTAACAACGTAGTATACATTTCAGTTGGAGCCATATTCAACACAGCAGGCATATAATATGGGTCAACTGATGTTGACATGATGGACCTTTAGCCATTTAGTACAGATAGTAATGACAAACTTGATTACAGTTCCATTGATATCAATTGAAGAATACGGATGCACATTGCCGTAGTCTAATTGTGTGAACTTACTGAGAAAAGGCTGGCTTTGAGAGAACTAGGGTCACACTACTGCTACTTAAATAGTCTATTTGAGAAGATGGAAACAAATAGAACTGATGGGTTGAATGAAATGGTTGACTGGCTCAGCATCTGTGTAGTTGCTGAACCAATCTGTGATGGTGTTAATTTGTTATGTAAAACTTTGATAAATAGTGAAGTTTAACAGATGTTTAATCTTTCTAATGGGTTTACTGTACAACAGTATTTTTCTTCTGAAACATTAGGCTACACATAACAGTTGTGACACTGAGAAATTACACTTGCTCTGGACACAATGTTTAAAGAATTTTAAAGCAAATTAAAAAGTCTCAGATGACAATGTCAACCTGAGCTTGGTATGAAGGAATGGAATGGGAAATTACAATGTGCTTTGTTGCTATACAACCCATTAAGTCTGTTTTTGTCATAAGGCTCTCTCATAAGGCTTTTGTTCGTATAAAGTTGTTTTACACAGGTCAACCATAACCTCTCACATTAAACTCATTTACAGTAGGCTACAGTACATGGCTCTGTCCTGGTGACCCTTGGGTGGTGGTGCGTGAGAGCTAATGTGTATTAGTTTATCCACATCAAGTTTGATATTCTTCTGCCTGCCTTCTTATTTCTTTATTTTTCTATTTTGGGTAAAGTCGGCCTCGCTGACCCGTTGTGCAGGCTGGGGGCCCCAAACCTGCTATTCGAGACTACATTGTTCAAAAGACTGTAAAATGGCGCTTCCATTTCTTACATGAGTGGGGTGGAAAAACAGCAGTCACATACCAGGCAGTCGTAGTGTTTCATAGGACCTCCTGACATGAAGGCACTCGCCTGATTATGCAATTTCTGCGCCTCCATAAAACCCTTTCCTGACCGAGCCCTGTCCACGCCTGTGAAGTGCTGAAAGTTGTCGACCCTCACCCGAGTATCTTCCACATACAGGAAATACACTTTTTCTCACCTCCAACAGAGTTGATGAATTCCAATTAACCAAATTTGCTAACTTTAAGCCGTTATTTAAAACCTATAAGCTGAATATTTATTTTAAAAGTAGGTCTGAATAGCCAACTGTTCAATTCCCACGGTCTTAAATAGTAATGTTTTGTTCTCTAATATCGTGTTTTCATTACCTGTCACTTTCTTGTCAAGTCTGAACCCATTTGATTGACTGATGAGGATATAAATTAATTAAGCTACAATATCTATTTCATTATATTGACGGTTTAGTGTTATAAAGGCCTGGATTTAGACTATACCATAAAATAATTGTAAAACTAGTAATAATTTCTGATATTTTGTTTTGCTGTTTTATATCTCATTCATTTATTTGTTCAGGCAGAATGTTATTTCTGTTGTTATAGCATCATGTTTCCTCCTAGCCTTAATCATCAATTAAATAGGCCCTAGTGTATGCACGTGTGGAATTAATGACGCACTGTACTGTCATTGATGTAGAGAGGGGGTGACCTCAGGCTTTAAAATTGTTCCGGTGAATGATTTGAAATCACAGATCAGCAAGAACATAACCCAAGAGCAACCAGAGAGAAGTCATGATGAAGACCTCTCAGTGCCAAACCATAGTCTCTCAGAGCGGCAGCGCGAGCTACATGAGCAGCCTCAGCACCAGCGCAATGAACCCGCTCAGCAGCACGAGCCTCACCCTCCTTGTTCTCCTCATCTCAGCATTACCCGTCTGCAAAAGTAAGTAAAAAAATATATTTTGACCATGCTTTGGGTATAGAATATGGACAGTCTTGTGCATTGCTATATGTCCAAGTCAAGATGTAAAAACGTTAAACTTCTTTAGGCTATGGAAAATGTTTGCGGGTCTGATGTAGCCTAATTGAATAGGTTATGAAAAATGTAAAGTTTTAATCAAAAGCTCAAAACTATTCAACATAAATTGGTAATCAACAAGCTCACTTAAATTATTAATCATATTCAGTTCTTCTATTTGCATTTACCACTTATATAACAGACATTTCTTTGCAAAAAAACAACAATATACACTACCAGTCAAAAGTCTTAGAACACCTTATTTATTTATTTTATTATATATTTTTTACTATTTTCTACATTGTAGAATAATAGTGAAGACATCAAATCAAATTTATGTTATATTTGAGATTCTTCAAATAGCCACCCTTTGCCTTGATGACAGCTTTGCACACTCTTGGCATTGTTTCAACCAGCTTCATGAGGTAGTCACCTGGAATGCATTTCAATTAACAAGTGTGCCTTAAAAGTTAATTTGTGGAATTTATTTCCTTCTTAATGTGTTTGAGCCAATCAGTTGTGTATTGACAGGGTAGGGGGGGTATACAGAAGATAGCCCTATTTGGTAAAAGACCAAGTCCATATTATGGCAAGAACAGCTCAAATAAGCTAAGAGAAACGACAGTCCATCATTACTTAAAGACATGAAGGTCAGTCAATACGGAACATTTTAAGAACTTTTAAAGTTTCTCAAGTGCAGTGGCAAAAACCATGAAGTGCTATGATGAAACTGGCTCTCATGAGGACTGCCACAGGAATGGAAAACCCAGAGTTACCTCTGCTGCAGAGGATAAGTTCATTCGACTTACCAGCCTGAGAAATTGCAGCCCAAATAAATGCTTCACAGAGTTCAAGTAACAGACACATCTCAACATCAACTGTTCAGAGGAGACTGTGTGAATCAGGCCTTCATGGTCGAATTGCTGCAAAGAAACCACTACTAAAGGACACCAATAAGAAGAAGAGACTTGCTTGGGCCAAGAAACACGAGCAATGGACATTAGATCGGTGGAAATGTGTCCTTTGGTCTGGATTGGAGATTTTTGGTTCCAACCATCGTTTCTTTGTGAGACGCGGTGTGGGTGAACGGATGATCTCCGCATATGTATTTCCCACCATAAAGCATGGAGGAGGAGGTGTTATGGTGTGGGGGTGCTTTGCTGGTGACACTGTCTGTGATTTATTTAGAATTCAAGGCACACTTAACCAGCATGGCTACCATAGCATTCTGCAGCGATACGCCATCCTATCCGGTTTGGGCTTAGTGGGACTATCATTTGTTTTTCAACAGGACAATGACCCAACACACCTCCAGGCTGTGTAAGGGCTATTTTACCAAGAAGGAGAGTGATGGAGTGCTGCATCAGATGACCTGGCCTCCACAATCCCCCAACCTCAACCAAATTGAGATGGTTTGGGATGAGTCGGACCCGCAGAGTGAAGGAAAAGCAGCCAACAAGTGCTCAGCATATGTGGGAACTCCTTCAAGACTGTTGAAAAAGCATTCCAGGTGAAGCTTGTTGAGAGAATGCCAAGAGTGTGCAAAGCTGTCATCAAGGCAAAGGCTATTTGAAGAATCTCAATTATAAAATATATTTTGATTTGTTTAACACTTTTTTGGTTACTACATGATTCCATATGTGTTATTTCATAGTTTTGATGTCTTCACTATTATTCTACAATGTAGAAAATAGTAAAAATAAAGAAAAACGCTTGAATGTGTAGGTGTTCTAAAACTTTTGACCGGTAGTGTATATATGTTGAAAAGATAGAAAGGAACTTGTTTAGCCTACAAAATAAAGCATTATATGTTTAAAGTGCAATGAGAGTTTACATCTCCTTAAAAAATAAAACTGTAGACCAAAGGTAGTTACAATATATTTAAATTCCTTACAATACGAATACATCCATATCAATGTTTAAACTCAAGATTATCTTACATGCCAAACATATTATTGTACGTAATTACGCATTCTTGGGAACTTGCCCAACGGAGAGAAAAGGTTTGAGAAATATTTGACATTTACTTCAGCACTTTCAATTGGTACGTTTATTTTGTTCTGAAGATGGCCTGGGGTCTTGTTGGTCCCATATCGAGAACTAGAGTTGATAGGGGGGCGAGTTCCTTTCATTACAACATATGTTTTTTTACAACCTTTTATCCAAGATTGGATTTTCTCAGACCGGAATTGTATTGATTGTAAACTGTGCAGCATAGAGAACTGGTGTAGCCTAAGCATATAGAAGCTCACACCAGCAGTAGGTCTAATGCGGCTTCACATCCTGTTGTTCTAGTACCAAATTACACTTTACTCTAATGCCTCCCCATAGCCATATACAAAACATACAGCAGTTGGAGAGGAACTCCTAATGTTTTGGTAATATTATGTAAAATTATGATTTTAGTGTACTGTTACATTCCCCAGCAAGAACACCAAAAATGTCCCTCAAACAGAAGGGGGAACTAACAAAGAGTCACTGACCAACAACCAAAATGAAACAGGTGGGGTTTTAGGAGGGGTTCTGAAAGACACTCATGGGGGTCTCCACTGAAAGTTGACTAGCAACAACAACTGGAACCTAAAAGACACCCACCATGAGCGGCCACTAAATTTGCCCAAGAAGAGGCAAACAAAAGAAAAACCCACACCAAACTTAAAGACAGGAAGCAAACAAAAAATGTGTAGCAAAATGAAATCAGATGAAGGATTGTTTGTCTAGAACTCAAAATAGGGAAAGCCAACTAAAGGTGTTAACCCTATCAAGACAACTGGCACACTGAGCCAGCCACCCTCCGCATCTATCAAGATAACTGGAGCACTGGGCCAGCCACCCTCCGCATCTATCAAGATAACTGGAGCACTGGGCCAGCCACCCTCTGCATCTATCAAGATAACTGGAGCACTGGGCCAGCCACCCTCCGCATCTATCAAGATAACTGGAGCACTGGGCCAGCCACCCTCCGCATCTATCAAGATAACTGGAGCACTGGGCCAGCCACCCTCCGCATCTATCAAGATAACTGGAGCACTGGGCCAGCCACCCTCCACATCTATCAAGGTAACTGGAGCACTGGGCCAGCCACCCTCCGCATCTATCAAGATAACTGGAGCACTGGGCCAGCCACCCTCCGCATCTATCAAGATAACTGGAGCACTGGGCCAGCCACCCTCCGCATCTATCAAGATAACTGGAGCACTGGGCCAGCCACTCTTAAATAGTACTTGGGCTAGCACAGGTGAAACACCTTCCCACTAACAAGATGGCAACCAGCACAAGTGTAACACATACTGACTAACGAGGTGACACCAATCGGTGAGCCCTACGTGCTAACGAGCTATACGTGCTAAAGTCCAACCTCAAAACATAAATGGAAAAACCAAAACCTGTAACAGTACTTACTGCACTGGTAGTTTCGCTCTCTCTTTAATCTCTCTCATGCATGGCCCTCTTCTCCCTCTCTCACTCCTTTCTTTGTTTTATGACTGACAGCTTGAATCTACTACAATTACCCCCCAGCCATGCATGGGGCAGAGACATGTCAACCTAATCTGAGGCAGGCAAACTGTGGCCCTGACAAACAGTCATAATGACTCCTAACAGTGGCTTGGATTTGGCTCCAAACAGCAATAATATCACAAATAATTGAGACATAAATAGATTTAGAATGGCAATCTGTCAATCCCTCTTCAGTGAGATGAGAAATTATATTTGTTAAGGGTTATTTTCTGTGACATTGAGCGATTGATGCGGCTTTGATGCTCTTATGTGATTATTGGCACAGGTGTTTAGAGACATTTAAACCACAATGGTGACAGGGAGAGAGCATAGGTATTGCTGTGTGCTGTTAGGACAATTCAGATGAAAATAGGGAAAGAGGGATCTATAAGTTAAATAGTGGTCTGTAAGAAAGACATTCCTTATGGGGAAGACTTTTGGGATACAGAGCTGTTGGTTTATAGTTGGTCACTATGAGTTTTCAATATGAACAAAATAATATGATCACATCATACCATACACTCTTAGAATTTTTTTTGCTATCTAGAACCTAAAAGGGTTCTTCGGCTGTCCCCATAGGAGAACCCTTTGAAGAACCGTTTTCACAGAGGGTTATACATGGAACACAAAAGGGTTCTACCTGAAATCAAAAAGGGTTCTATCTGGAACCAAAGAGGGTTCTGTTTGTGATGCACTGGAAGTGGATTGTTATGGTTGTGTAAAAACAATCTGCACACTCCTACCTGCTCAGTGCTACAGCATCAATGTGATGATAGAGATGTAATGATTCTTGTGTCTGTCTGTGTTTCAATGGAAGGTGTTCCAATACAACAGCAGAGAGCAACGATAGACCAGGACCAGCTTCTCAACCAGGTAGGCCACAGAATCTCTCTCTCTCTCTCGCTCTCTCTCTCTCTCTTCTCTCTCCTCTCTCTCTCTCTCTCTCTCTCTCTCTCTCTCTCTCTCTCTCTCTCCTCTCTCTCCTCTCTCTCCTCCTCTCCTCTCTCTTCTCTCTCCTCTCTCTCTCTCTCTCTCTCTCTCTCTCTCTCTCTCTCTCTCTCTCTCTCTATACTAAGACTGAGTTGTTGCTTTCCTTTGAAACAAAGAGACATGTGAATTCTTCACTCCCCCTCTCATAACAGCACTCTCCTGTCTTGTCTCCCATAGCTAGAAGATGTGTGCTCATCCTACCTTTCTGCAGACCTGCCATTTCAGGTGAGTAAGACTAGAATAATGAAATGATCAAATGAAAGCACTGAAGAGAATAGATTCATGTTCAATGATTTCTCACTCTCACATATTTTCAAGTTCAGGATCAATTCCAATTATGATGAAATTGAAATACTCACTTACAGGCTTGAAATGAAAAAGGTTGTACAACTGTATCAGATTCTTTCTCTCACCTCCTCTCCCCTGCTCTCTGGTTGCTACTCTAGACACCTGATGTTTTGGGAGAACTCTGTGTGTTGATGCTTGTACAGAAGTCTAAGGTATTCCACCCTTCATGTTCCAGCATAGTAGCTCAAACAATAATCATATCACATGTACACACATAGTGGTTTATCCTGTTCCGTGAGCACAACACAGTTGCACATACACTGAGTGTACAAAAGATTAAGAACACCTTCCTACTATTGAGATGCCCTCAAAACAGTCTCAATTTGTTGGGGCATGGACTCTATAAGATGTTAAAAGTGTTCCACAGGGATGCAGGCCCATGTTGACTCCAATGCTTCCCACAGTTGTGTCAAGTTGGCTGGATGTCCTTTGGGTGGTCGACCATTCCTGATACACACGGAAAACTGTTGAGCGTGAAAAACCCAGCAGCGTTGCAGTTCTTGACACAATCCAGTGCGCCTGGTACCTGCTACCATACCCCGTTCAAAGGCACTTAAATATGTTGTCTTGCCCATTCCCCCTCTGAATGGCACACATACACAATCCATGTCTCAATTGTATCAAGGCTTAAAAATCCTTCTTTAACCTGTCTCATCCCCTTCATCTTCACTGATTGAAGTGGATTTAACAAGTGACATCAATAAGGGATCATAGCTTTCACCTGGGGTAGTCTATGTCATGGAAAGAGCAGGTGTTCTTAGTGTTTTGTACACTTGGTGCATATACAGTGTTTAAAGGAGCAGTTCACTAATCCATGGTTCAGTTTTCTTTAAACAGCCATTACAAACCTTCAGCTAACTTTATCCACCGCTCGCGAAAAATCTATGGAAGTGATGGCAGCACGTGAGCATGTTTTCCTTTTAAATGGTCCAATCACCTTTAAGTAACATCAAACCACATGTACAGTTGATTTCAGATGATTTGGACATAATTTTTTTACATGCACACATGCCACCATCATTTCCATTGATTTTTAAATAGCGGTGGCTAAAGTTAGCTGATATTTGTAATGGCTGTATAAAGAAAACTTAACCATGGTTTCTCCTGGCTCATAGACTACTTTCAGGGTGAGGAACCATCTAACATCAAGTTGTAAAATAGTGAACTACTCCTTTAATCATTCTCAAGAGTAAATTGAGTTTTGTTTTCTTGTCATTGCAGGACTTGAAAGCGCGGGACAATCCTAGTAAAAGGGTAAGTGTGACATTATGTCTGTTTTATCATGTCTGTTTCATCATGTCTGTTTCATATGTCTATTGAAATATGTTGCCTTTAGTGAACGCCTTTCAATGCAATCAACATCAAACCTTTTGAAATATGTGTGTGTGTGTGTGTGTGTGTTTGTGTGTGTGTTTGCTTGTGTATAGTTTTTATTTCATTATGCTAAGCAACAAGGTGCTGGCCTAACAGAGGGGGCGGTAAGTTGGGTTAAAGTTCAAGTTCACTGTGCACTGCTTTGCGGCTTAACAAGGCACACTGCATTTTTAAAATTCTTTGTTACTTGTACTGTGCTATTAGTATGGTATTACTTTTTTACTTTATAAAGTGAATTTTAACCCTGAAAAAGTGTTACGTTTTAGTTTAGTTTTTATTTTCAGAGTAACCAAAATATTATGAGGCATGAATTGCATTGACTCTGTTGCATATTACATTACCCCAGCTCTTACCTGCTCGTGCACGCACACAAACCCTATTGCTGCCCAGTCCCTCAGCTTGTTAACGTAGTCAGTTCTCAATAGCTGTCCTCCAAGGAGATAGGCCCCTACGTTTCTGGTTCCTGGTACAGGAAATACCATAGTTTGCCTATCTCTGGTATAAAGAAAGTTGAAAAAACACTGCTCCACCTGCCACAGTGCTTCCCTCCCCCTTGTCTCTTGCTCTGCATGCAAGATGCACACTTTCTTGGAAACAATTTGGGGGGCAGCACGTGTCCACATCCATGTATCTTGTCTTGTTTGCATGAGTTACTTTGAATTCCTCATGCCCCCCTCCCTTCCACTGTGTCATCAGGGTGACCGACGTGGGGAACATCATCAGTTTAAATTAGATAAACAGAAAGGACAATGAACGGACACATTTTCTGCCCCATCTGAATAATTCATGGTAGACTATTTTTAAGTACCAACCATTTTCTTCTCAAGTCTCCAAGTTATTGTAATGGAACCAAAATGCCATCCTCTATTTCTGGTGAAGGCTTCATTATTTCATTTAGGATATAGCTTTGTTTATAGTCACTGGGTGGAGATTGGCTTTGCAAAGGTTAGTTTTTCCTCAGAGGATGTTAGCACAGTAAAATCAAGTTGAGTTGATAAAATATAAAACGTGTCAACCAGATAACAATGAAAATATGACGTCTTTCCTAGACATTGTGATTACGCCATGAGAATAAGTCTAATTGATTGTAATCAGGTTATCTGATTGGGGCTGGGGACTGCCATCAGATCAATTACGTCATTATGACATCCCACACCAAATTTTGTCCAATATGACCTACGCATGAGGCTGGTACAGTACATTACATCTGTAGAGCAGTCCTATGTCCTGGCATGGCCTGCATGTGGAGAGTGAGCTGTCACTATGTGCTCTGTTGATCTAAACATGAATGCAGAGTGTGCAAATGAACACAGGGTTGTACTGAGGACTGTGTGTGTGTGTGTGTGTGTGTGTGTGTGTGTGTGTGTGTGTGTGTGTGTGTGTGTGTGTGTGTGTGTGTGTGTGTGTGTGTGTGTGTGTGTGTGTGTGTGTGTGTGTGTGTGTGTGCTTGTGCCTGTATGAATGGGATGTCTAGTGATAATGTTGTGTGTGTATATGGTCCTCTCTGCAGCCCCCAGCCCTTTGTCTCTGTCTTAGGGCAGTTGTTCATGGTTCTCATGTTTCTTCATGTCTGTCCGTATGTGGATGTGTCAGTCCCCTGTGATGCACCCTCTCCTGCAGCTTGTTCCTCAACTTCATACCAGAGGAGAAAGAGGAGAGGAGTTTGTGGTGCGCGTATGTACCGATCTGCATGTTCCTTTTTACATCTATTCTGCACCTGTCACTTCTTTGGAGAGGAAATATCACACTAATCCAGGGGTCTCCAACCTTTTCTAGCATGAGAGCTACTTTTAAAAAATGAAACATGTTGCAAGCTACTAATGGTTCTGTACTGCTGCTGCTTATTTCATGGAAAAGTTTGCAAATATCAAATAATAGATACAAATAATATACTGTACTTATTCATGGTCTACTTCTGCCAGGTAAGCCTACTTTGCAGTTAACATTTAATTGAGAAGGTTTTGGGGAAAGTATCTCTGTCAACCCACAAGATGGTTATCACATCAACTGGCTACTAGTGATGGGCAGTCTTTTCTTTGAGCCGGATCATTTGGCTCTGTTCACCTAAAAGATACGTTTATTTGGCTCCCAAATGGCTCTTCTTTAAACCAGGAACATTTTGTAAATATCTAATTTTAAAGCCTAGAACATTGCCTACCATTATGTCAGATCGTGAAATGTGAGTTCAAATACATTTTTACCTGACCAAATTATTAGATGGCCTGCAAAATAAATGAAGACAAAATGTTACACTGAAAATATTAGCATGGACCAGAATGAGGCTCTCTCCTCACTATATTGTTCCTGCACTGAGGAATTACCATATTCAGATAATGTTTTTATAATGTATCTGCAGATAATCGATGTCTGCAGCTCAAAAAGCAATAGTAAAAGTATGCAAATCAGGGAGCCGACGTTCACCAAAAAGAGCCGTTCAAAAAGAGCCAATCCTTCGCGAACAACCCATCACTACTGGCTACACATGGAGTGATAGACAAACGCCCGCACCACACAGACAGAAAGGGGCAATATTGCTGGAAATTAATTGGCAGATATTGTGTTAGGTTTGGCTTTTTAAGCCAATAGTGGCTTACCACGGGTGGGATAATGTTAATGTTGCGTTGGTTAGACAGTAGCTGGGAGCTTGCGGTGTCTGATACTTCTGAGATTAGTTTGCGGTGGAACACGTGAAAATTGCGTGTACTTGTTTGGCTAGATACTCATAGGTGGTCTGCGAGCTCCTGGTAGCTCAAGGATCGACCTTTTGGAGACCCCTGCGCTAATCTCTTAGCAGCCGGCTGCAGGTAGCCCAGCGTTTAGAGCATTGGGCCAGTAACCAAAAGGTGGCAATTTTGAATCCCCGAGCCAACAAGGTGACAAACGTGCCCTTGAGCAAGGCACTTAACCCTAATTGCTCCAGGGTTGCCATTGATAATGGCAGACACTGGCCCCATTCTCAAAGAGTATCTCAGGGAGATTTGGGATATGCAACAAAAATTCACACGCCTATTAATACCCACTTGTACATTATCAAATTATCAAATTATTATTCATATTTAGACTCACATATAACAAAGCCACCACAATTTACAGTACTTTGTTATAGTGTAATAGTAATGATCAAGTGAAAGATCTTGTGAGCATCCTTTGCTTTTATTTACATGGGAGAGCTAAAACTCTTGTTGTGCCCTTAGAAGTCAATACAGGAAATGATGAGGATATGCTCTTTTCACTTTGTCAACGTATACAGGATTTGTCCTTTTTTCAGTGTGCCGCCCTATTATGAGACTGTTGTGTAAGTGATGTGTGTTTGTGTACAGTATGTGATGCATGTGATTCATTGTGCGTATAGAGGCTACCTTTTTTACACACATATTGTCACTCTCTGTACTCGCTCTGTCTACATTAGCTGTTCTTTTCCATGATGCAGGTAATTACGGTCTAAAATTAGAGCATCTGACAGGTGAACTTCCACATTGCTGTGCTTTAACTCAACATAATTAATCCTTAATTTTACCTGGGATTGGCATTGACATAGTAGCTACAGCAGAACTGTGAGAGGAAAAGTGCTCAGCTTAGTGTGTGTCTGTTTACGGTGGAGACTCAATGGGAGTGATCTCTGCTCTAATGGTATTGCCTACGAAATAATGAAATAAGTGGAAAAGGAGCTTCAACAAGGATATCTAGCACACTGCTTTCTGTTCCAACTGAAATTGTAATAAAAAAAAATCATCGGAAAGCAGTTTTCAGCTGAATAAATACTGCCCTACTCAAATGAGACCATAGCTGAATGTATAGCACCTGTTCATTAATATATTCGGTGTGCTTTCTGTTTAGGATGATCTCCAGGGACCTGGGGGAATTCATAGTAGAGGGTTCTTCGTATATCGGGTATGAATACACACATTCAGAGAACAGGAATTAACTCCATTCAAAAGTTTATTTGATTTCTTACATCAGTAATATTTCCTTATCTTACTTACAGCCAAGAAATGGAAGAAGATCCCTAGAATTTGAGTAAACGTAAGGTATGGGATATTTCGCAACGCCATTATTATTAGTAAACAGTGCTGTAACATTAATGTATATTTACTAGTGTACCCTGAAAGTGTCAGGATAAGAAAAAATACATATCAAACTGTAATCTGACAGAGTGGGGAGGCAGGTTTCCATGAAACTCTTTGGTAAGTATTACTGTGAATATGTAGAGTATCAATATTATCATGAGTAATAAAAATGTATGCATGCATGACTGTTAGTCACTTTGGATAAAATCGTCTGCTAAATGGCATACTGTATATTATTATTATTATTATTATTATTATTATTATTATTATTATAGTAGTAACCTAATGTGTTTGTGCTTGCATGGCCTTGACCCTTTAAAACAATGTGTTACAGAGTCCCTACTATATGCTGTACAGAGATGACAGAACCAGAGAACTGAACAACCTTCATAGAGTGGTCCAGACCTCCACCACAACCCCTTAATGACCATTGTATAGTGATGTTGAATGTACACAATGAAATTAAAGAATCCAAATAAAATAGTCTTTGTTGGTCCAAAAGTCTTATTTGTGTTACAATGAGGTATCTTTCGAATTAAAAACATTGTTATATGGTTATTTTTGTGGTGGCATGATTTTGCAGAAAGACAGATACTGCTTATGAAACTTGCACAAAGAGGTCCTGACGCAACTGGAAAATTGTCAGTGAACACGAAAGCGGAGTGTGTGTTTGTGTGTGTGTGAGCTGAAAACTCGTCGTGCCCATAGCCTAATTAGTATGCTCAAAAAAATTACACACACAAATGTTGTCTCTCTCTGAAACATCTATAATGACACAAGATTGAGATCTCACCCAACACTATTGTGCTGCACCACATTCTGTTATGATTGAAATCCACCTTTCTAACAGACTAAAGAGCAGAAAGGCTGCTTATTGTCTCAATGCACTGGACAAAAACTGGTTGAATCAACGTTGTTTCCACGTCATTTCAACCCCAGAAAATAAATGTTATGACATTGAATCAACATGGAAAACTGATTTGATTTGCAAAAAGTAATTGACGTAAGGGCATTTCATTTTTTTTTTCACCCACATTTGAACCTAAATCCAATGACAAGGTGACATTTTTTGTTGATTCACATTGAATTGACGTTAGTTGACAACTCAACCAAATGTAAATCAAAACAAGACGTTGTACTGACGTCTGTGCCCAGTGGGAATATACCAATGACTGTAAGACTGGCTGCATAACAAGTGTTCCCAGTTCGGAGTTTTGTACTAAGAGTTTTGAAAATTCACCACATACTTGTGAAAATAGCACCAAAGCAATTGAAGAAAACTGTTGACTAGGCACTACATAATTTTGGCTCAGTAGTTTTCGGTTTTGAGCAGTTTAATTAAGTGATAGTTAAAGCTGCAATATGTAAATTTTTGGGCAACACCAACCAAATTAACATAGTCTAAGAAGCGTTAGATCTGTTCTATGTGCGCTATTTCTATGCTTCCCGTTCTTAAGTTTATTTTTGTAAAACAGCTTCAAACAGCTGAAAATACAATATTATTTTGGTTATGTAAAAGTTATTTCACAGTGGTTTAGATGGTACAATGATTATCTACACTATACTTGCTTGTTTTGTCACATAAACTGAAATTGGACGAACTATTAAAATTTTAGCAACTAGGAAATGGCAGAGCGATTTCTGCATAGTGCATCTTTAATTGTATTGTTAACAAATTACAAGAAAATCATATCTAAAGTAAAGTGAATATTGCATTTTAAAAAACAGATACTTAGATTGAATATGCATTCAAACTGAAAGAGGGATTTGGTGCAGTGAACAAGTGACTTTGTGAATTTGATTGTAGAGTTTTGAAACATGAGCCATTTTGATTATCTGTTTTGATTTTTGTGTTTAGAGTTGTGAAAATGTACCACATATAGTACTTCTGAAAATTGCACTGACGGGATTGAAAAAAACTGTAATTGATACAGATGTGTGTATGTCTTCTGTTTTATCTGGTGCAATATTATGTCCAGCTGGCAGGTATTGTATTTTACCAGCCCTTCTCACCCTTTGACAGAGCATTCTGGCTGGTGACAGAACACATGCTTTCCGGCTTGGATGAGTTCTCACACTCAGAGAGTTGTTTTGGGGGTGGCTTTTCGTTTTCACACCCCCAACTCCCTCAGCCTCCCACTCATGGTCCTGTATGGTTCAGTTGGTAGAGCATTGAAACTTGCAACGCCAGGATTATGGGTTTGATTCCTGGGGCCACCCGTATGTAAAATGTATGCATGCATGAATGTAAGTTGCTTTGAATAAAAGCGTCTGCTAAATGGCATGTATTGTTATATATTACCAACAGCTCAAATTGTTTCAGCTACCAACTATTACATTCCGGTGAAGAACTAAACTGATTCTGATGACTTACTAATTGTATTTACCTTACAGCATTGCAGCATAATTAATGGTTTTGTCACTTAGGAAAATATTTGTGGAGAGTCTGGTCTAGAATATAGAATAAAAATGTATACTTTGTTTTCTGTTACCTAAAAACTATTAATATCAGTGTCTGTCTCTTTTTCCTTTCTGGTTTCTCACCCACTGTGTGAGTATTTATTTGAAAGAAGTATCTGGAAGACAGTGACACATTAGTCCATGAGCAGGCTGCGGTGTGAGAACTCATCCAAGCAGAAAGCATGTATTCTGTCACCAGCCAGAATGCTCTGTCAAAGAGTGAGAAGGGCTGGTAAAATACAATACCTGCCAGCTGGACATAATATTGCACCAGATAAAACAGAAGACGTACACACATCTGTATTTCTATTCATCACTTTAAAAATAACAGTTTTGAAATGTGTACCTTGTATTTGTAACTATTAGATAAAATGGTAGTTAAAATGACTACATGGTGAGCCTATCATTCCTTATCTGATGTATCGTGACAAAAAATTCTCATAAAAACTGATTTTGCATAAATGACCCGGGTGAAAGATGTTTGATACCCCAATGAATGCTCAATCAAAGGTTCTGGACATAAGATAAGAGGCATTACAAGTGTTATCAGTTTAGAGTTTTGTACTTAGAGCTTTGAAAATATACCACTTACATCTGAAAAATTTACCAAAAAGATTGAAAAAAAACAACGTTTGTGTTGAAAAAATATTTGATCATGGCACTTTCTAGTGGTTGCAAAAAGAACATCTCAGAAAACATAGTCCTTATCTGTTCAGCACCAAGCCCATCCCAAGGCAATGGTACATTTCCTTTAAGACTGTTGAAAACCTTGACCCTAAAGGGAGATAGGCTGGTCTCTTTCGTTGATCAAACTGATAATATGACAAATCCCTTGTTTTGTGGGGGGATACAAGAAATAGAAGATAGCTGCTCCAAGCCAAGGCGCAGTTCTTCATCTGAACAGTAGATGTCCACATGCTGCAACAAATAAACTTCACCAGCTGCAAATATATGTACTTAAACACAGTTTCTAACATGGATGTAATTTCTATCAGCTAAAGCTGTCCTTGGCAAGCATAGAACTGCAGCAAAATCTTATAGGCTACATCAACTCACTTAGCAGACATTTATCATAGCAATTCTGCCGCTAGTAGCTTCAGATTAATACGGTTCTACAATGAGAGAAACATCAAAATGTTCCCTCATTTAGAAATTGTAGAAAGATTATTCTCATAGTGTTGAAAACCATACAGTATAAAGTGTTTGTTCTCAGCTATTTGGTCAGGTTCTGAGTGTTTGTTTTTTATAAATTCCTCCAGGGAAACAGCACATTTTAGCAGGGGCCACAGAATATCCCAAAGCAGACAGAACTTTGTGTCATGATGGTAGTTAGGTCCAGTAGTCCACTATTATTACCATGTTGGCCTATACAGTAATCTTCCACATCCAGCATGCTGCAACACCTTTAGTAACACAGTAGCCTAAATACAGTTTATTTGTCAGCTTGCAAACCTGCAAACTGACTTTGCACTGAACTATGCCCCAAGAGCTATCATTAATGGAATGTGAGGTCAATAGTAATAAGACAATAAAGACTATAGTTCA